CGTGAAAACCGAACCCCGGAGGCCAGTAGAGGAGGAGCCTAAGATTGCAGGGGACCTGGACCAGGAGCCGGTAAGGGCTTGGGGATGGGAAGGGGACCGGCCAGAATTCCTGAGAAAAGTGGACCAAGAGAGACAAAGGCCTGGCAGGGGAGTCACACTTCTGAGATCCTCCTGCCTTCTTCCCCACCTTTTAGAGCCTGCTCTACGCAGACCTGGATTGTATGGCCCTCAGAAGGCACCGCCAGTTGTCCCCTGTGGTCCCTGCTGATGCCTCCACCATTTATGCAGTTGTAGTTTGAAGGAAAGCCCTTACTCCAAACCTCACAGGCTGGGGTTCCCGGCTCCCCCCACCCCCAGCCTCTCTCCTGGAAAAGGTAGACTGGGAGTCAGGACACCTGGGTTCCAGGCTCTGCCACTGATCTTGCTCCTTCAGTTACCCCGCCTCTCATTACTTCAGTTACTCCATGTCTCCTTCACCACTGCTGTCCTCTTTTATCTAAAACCTCATCCACCCCTGATAGCTAGGAGACATCAACCACACCTAGATAGTTGTCCCATCTCTCCCCTTCCCTCCAGTCAAGCTTTTTGAACCAGAGGCTTGCACCTCTCTCTTCCACTTTCTTTTCCTTCATTCCACTCCCATGAGGTTGCCACTGATGTCCTAATGGCCACACCCAGTAGACAACTTTTAGCATTCATCTGGCTTGGCCTTTGATCACTCCCTTCTTTAAACTGTTTTTCTTTAATGTTGGTGTGTTCCTTTTGGATTTCTCTTCCTTTCTCCCCACCCCCATAGTATTCCCTACCATTCTAGGTTTGTCTCTTTATCTGCCTTCTCCCTCTTCTCGGAAGCTGTCATCCACAGCCAGTCCTCGGCCCTCACCTCAACAAATGACACCCAGAACTCTCTCCAGCTCAGATCTCAGGTATGGGATTTCCAAATTGTCCCGCAGACATCCCTGCCCTAGGCCGTTTGCACACAGCATGTCCAAAACCCAATTTATTGTCATCTTCCGAGCCACTTACTTATTCCTCCTCTGTATTCTCTCTTTATCAACCCAGTTGCCCAAGCCAGAAACTGGGAGTCATGCAGACTTCCTCCCTCTCACTCACTCCCAATGAACCAAGTCCTGCCATTCTATTTTAACATCACTGTTAAATCCACACCCTTCTTCACTCCTAGCACTGCCACCTGAATGTATTCTCATTTCCTCCTTGGATTTCCCATGGCCCCACCTCATCCTCCTGCCCTTGCCCTCCTTCCTGAAGCCAGAGAGATCCTTCCCAAATCCTGACCTGCTCCTGACAGCCTGTGTTTCAGAACTGTAGTATTGTTTTCCTTAACCTTCAGCTCTAGGCCCATGGGCTTTGGCATGGGGTACAAGGTGCTACAGCACTCTGCCTACCTACTCTTGAGGCTTAACTCTGTCACACCACATGCCAGCCTTAGAGAAATTCTCCCCAGGCCCCAATTGCTGTATGCCATTGTCCAGTGCTACTCCATCTTCATGGATTACCTTTTTCTCTCCTCCCCACTACCTGCCTGGCTAATCCTTATTTATCCTCAGGACTCAGTTCAAGTGTAGCCTTCTGGAATGCCATTCCTGACCCTCTTGGCCCCCCTGCATACATTTTGATTCCCTGGAAGTTCCCTTATTTCTCTCATAGTACCAGCCTCTCATGAATTGTTCCATCACAACCTGTATTTGAATTTGTAAGAAATTTTCATGTATTGTGTGCTCCCTGATGTCAGGAGACTGACCCTTTTCATATCACTGCTAAGCCTCAGTAAATGATTGAATGAAAATTAATATCCCTAGAAGCATCATTTGTTTCTCTCTATCAACTAGGGATGGGCTGGTAATCTACCAATCTCTGAATCATCTGACATTTAGATAAATTCAACAAGTGATCTACCCACACTCTCTCTTCTCTACCCTGTACATGCTCCCCACAATAGAAATTCTATCCCATCCATCTTACACCCAAGCACCTATGACAGGGCTGGGCAATAAGCCAGTAAGTACCTAATGAGGGTTTGACAAATGAAAGAGGCCTCCTTCCCAGCACTATCCCCAACCTCAGGTTTCAACCCTGCCCCTGTCCCTCTACCAAGACACCAGCCACAGCCCAGTCTAAAAGGTCAGTTCTATTTTATTAGTTCTGGGGGAGAGAACTCACTCTGTGGCCTCTATCTTTTGTCCCACACTATGCCCTCCCCCTATCTTGAGTCCCTCTCCCCACTACTAACTATTCACCATCCTCTGTCTAACCTTCATTCCTCTTCTACTCCCCATGTGGCCCTACCCCTGGCCAGCCAGGACCCCAAGGCCAGGCCCTCAGCTGTGGGGGCGTGTGCTGAGGACCAGGCAGAGGGAGCTGAGCCCAGCGCCTGCCTTCTCCAGTTCTGAGCAGGACACAGGTACCAGGGTGACTTCGGAGAGCTTCTGCAGTGCCTGTAGGGAGGACATGGATTGGGGAAATAGGAGTGAGACCCTGAGGCCACAGCCAGGCCCACCCCCCTTTGCAGCCAGCTCAGAGTGGTCCCACCCGGGCTTCTAGAAAAGGTACCCCTCCTTCCTCCCACTAGGAAGGCCTGAGACTCCTTTCTTTGGTTGGTGGTGGTGGTGGAGCTCCTGTCTAACCTCACCTCCTGGCTGTTGGGCAGGTCCCCACCTCCACGGTGCAGGAGGAAAGGGGGCACACCAGGCAACCCAGGACGCAGAAAGAGACAGTCAGCAGCCGCATCATCTGGGAGGGTCAGGGAGGCATAGGGGTGGTCTGTCAACACCGCCATTGCCTGGGGTAGAGGAAAGAGGAAGCATTCAAGTCTCAAGAGCCTTTCCACAACTGAGCCTGGCTGCCCTACCACAACTAAGGGTGGGGGACAATTACTTTAGTGGAATAATAATGACAGCAAGCACAAAGGGCTTACTATGTGTCAGGAGCTGTTCCAAGCACTTTAGTTACCTTTGCTAATTTCCATCTCAGACTCACATGCAGTTCTTTCCACCTGTAACTGTCTTCTCCCCTTCTCCAGCCCCCACCTGTCAGTCCCATCCATCCTTTAAGTCAGAGCTTAGATGCCACCTTCGGGGATTTTTGAAAGACGATGTTAATTGACCTTATTCCCGGGTCTCCCAGTTCCCTGTTCCACTATACTAACTTCTTGTTTTCTCGCGTGTTTTCACAGTAGACGGACCTCTCTGTGAGGGTAGGGGCTGGAGCTAAGTCTCCTCATCGCCTTGGCCAGGAGCCACGCCCACTTTCGTAGGCTGTGCCCCAATCTGCCCCGCCCCTCCTCACCCTGACAGCCTTTTGGGCAGCGTCGCTGCTACCGGCCACCACAGTGCGGGGTCCCCCCATGCCACAGAGGCCGCGCAGGTGGGAGGGGCTCGAGACAGGCACTGTGGAGACAGCGAAGTCCTAGGGAGAACAAGGGAAAGTACACAAGGACATGGGAGGGATGAGGGGTAACCCTCAAACACAGGATGCCCTCAGCCTCTCCCTCCTCAGTGCCCCCCTCCTCAGGCCCTTCAGACCCCACCCCCCATCCACTCCCCGCTGCTCCCCACCCTAGGCTGGTCCTGCTCCTCACCCGGAACGTGTCTGCCACGATCTCTGCTCCTCGGTGATTGGTCCACTTGGATAGGCCCACGAAAAACTCCCGGCCTGAGGCCGCAGAGGTTTGAGGGTGGGAGGAAATGAGTTGGAAACAAGACCTGAGATGGCCCAATCTTTCAAACTCTGCTTCCTTGTGCCAACCCCCAGGGGTGCTGGCACCCCAGCCTTACCGGTAAAGAGAACATCGGTGCCATCCAGCGTCGCATTCTCATCCCCCATCTCCACTATTCGGAGCCCCAGGTCCTGGAGGGCTTTGCGGACTCCATCCACCTTAGGGCAAAAAAAGAGGGCGCAGGGCTGAGGCATTTCCACCCCCCAATTCTTCCCTAAAGTCTCGGATGTCCAGTTCCTCCCTTCCCCTACCCCCACCCCCACCCCACCTTGGTGCTCACCTCCGGTCTGCGGGCAGGGCTCCAAGGCCGCGTGATTAGGGCCGTGTCCCCTTGGATCACGGCCGTGTCACCGAGCAGCGGTCCCAGGGGTAGCGACTCTTCAGGAGGCAATTCTAGCAGCTGCAGCCCCAACCGCTGCCTCAGTTTACCCCCTAGCACCCCATGCTCCCTCTGAGCTTTGGCCAGGTCCAGAGCCGGGATGCCAGCCCCCGCACCCTCCCCCGACGCCAGGCTCTCCGGGACCCCCCGGATCAGGGCATGGGAGCAGCGGCCCAGCCCTTCCCCCGGCGTCCCCATCCCATCCACACAGACTCCCCCTCCAGCCGCGCTGATTTCTTAGTTTCTTCTTTTTATTTCACCTGTGAGAAGAGACAGAATGGGGGAGACAGAGAAAGAGACAAGCATTGAAGGGCGTAGGTGGTGGTTAAGAACGCCAGGGTCTTCCTCCTGCCCTCTCCGGGCGCCCCTCCCACTCTTCCCCACCCCCTCCAGACCTTCCTCTCCTGCCTACCCCATTCCGCCCGCACCCTCGCGGGTCTTCTGCTTTAGGTCGAGTCCGAGAAGCAACACCAGGATCCCCTAATCTCCAAAACACCTGTTGCCCCTACTCGGGGGCTTCGTAAGGTTCCTGCCGGGCGCCCCTCTTGGCAGCCGCTAGGATGCGCTCACTCCCCAAAAATGCAGCGGCCCCGCCCCCTTAACCCTCAGCTGCTCGCTGCCGTAGGGACCCGAAGTGCGGAGGGGAACCCACAGGAGTTACGGGACGGGAGACAACTGTGGGGGGAGAGCCTGGGGGATGGAATTCTTGGACGTCCAAATGAGAAAGGGAGCGAGGGGCAAGGAGGGAGGAATTAGACCCTAAGGAGTTAAACATCCTCTCCACCCCGCCCGGTCACTCTGCCCCTAGCGCGGGACCCAGTATAAACCAGACCGAGTCCCGGAGGACTGGGAGAGGTCTAAAGCGAAATCCGAGGGGCGGGGAAACGGGGGCGTGGTTCCGGGGAGCGGGAGCCACTCTGGGTTCCAGGACTCGGTCCCTTCCTCTCCCGGCCTCTTCCCCAAAGTCCACCCCACTCAGCTCCCCACCCAAATGTCGGCCCCCAGCACTCTCTCCGATGCAGGCAAGGCCCCAACACTGCACAGGGGACACCTCCCCACCCCAGACTCACCTCCAGCTGCCACCCCCACTCCTGCAGCTCTGTGATCTTGACTGCCCTCCCCCCGCAGGACAGAGTTGGTGGAGAAGAGTCCTAGTCTTCAAGCCTTGGGGACTGGAGCTTGGGCTTTGAGGGGTCCCTGCGTAGGCGAGCTCAAATACTAAGGTGGGGCGGGGGCGCGACGGTCTGGCGGCTCCAGGGCATTGTCTAAGCGGGACTGGGCGGGGCTCCTCGAGGCCATGCCCATTCCGCCCTGCTATGCCGCGCCCACTCCACAGGGACTGTGCCCCTCCTTTCTGAACTCTGCCCCGCCCTTCGAGTACTGCTCCAGCCCACCCCGATCTGGCTCCCATTGAAGGCTGGGCTACGAACGCGACAGGGAGCGAGTGCGAGACAGCTCGATGATGGACTGGCAGATTAAAACAGGAAAAAAGACAAAATCACAGCAAGCACCCATCTTCTAAATTCCTGGCTTCAGCCCTGAGCTCAAGGTCACTTGACTCACTCTTCATTCCGTGTTACTCACATTTCCAGAACCCTTTGTGTAAAAACAACACTAGATTTTTTTTTTCATTCTGTATTTTATTACTGAAATACATTGTCCTACCTACCCCACCCCACCCACAATAAAAATCTCACCCAGAACCTCCATTCCTTCCCTTCATTCCCCCAGCCAGTCCTGCACAAGTGCTCCAAAATTCACTCCCCACTGGCCATTTTGGAGTGTGTCCATTGGGTAGCCAAGTGGAAACGACTATGTCGAGAAAAATGGAGGGGGGCAAGGGAGCCCCAGGAGGGGCTTATTTGAGGGCCTTGGCCACTTGCTCATAGGCCAGCTCGATCTCCTCCTCATCTGGACAGGTGGAGGAGAACTCTTCCCGAGCATAGGCATTGCGCAAATACCGATGCACTCCCCGGAACACCTCGGGGATGGAGAAGCCCCGGTACTTCTTACATACCACCTGGGGGTGGGGAGAGGAGAGGGACCAACAGATTAGCCTCAGCAAGACTGTGGTCTTTCTCTTATCCTAAGTTCCACCTGACCAAAACCAGTCACCTTGTCCAGTCCAGGCATTGGACATTGGATTGTCTCTACTATCTGGCTCCTCTTCCTTTTGATTCTTACCTCCCATATGAATCACCTTCTCCAACTGGCTTTCTTAACTCCCCAATATGCTAAACTGTCTTCACCCTTCCACTATACTTAGTGATAAGCAGCCCCTTTTCAGACCACCCCATTCCATGGTGCTACCTTCCTCCTCTTGATTTTATTGAGATATAATTCACAAACCATGAATTTTTTTCTCTCAAATTTCCAAAGCAACTTTTGTCTCTATTTTTCATTTTAGGTTTCAAATCCTTTGGGGCAAGGGCTAATCATCATATAACTTTGTCTTTCAGTGCCTAGTTCAATCCAGTTTTATGGCAGACTGACATTATTGTCATAGCTTTAAGGCTATGACAAAAACATAGGAACCAACAGTTATCATCTTCCACAAGAGGAAGTGGAGGCTGAAGCTATAAAGAGTGTTAAAACTTTGATTTTAGAACCAGCCTGCTGGTCTGATCTGGGGATTTGGCAGTGATAGAGACAGGCAGAGCATTCTTGAAAGTAATACTGCAACGTGTTATTCTCAACCAGTCTGCCTGCACCCATGACTTCTAGCAGGGAATATAATTTTTTCAAGTAGTGGTCTTGCCAGCAATGACTGCTGAGAAAAAATGGGATGGTATCTGCTATTGGTAGCAATGTATAGAAACCACCCTAAGAAAGTAACAACCTTCAGGGCCGGCCGAGTGGCGCGATGGTTAAGAACTCGCTTGGGATGCCAGAGGGCCCCGGTTCGGATCCCACATATGAGGGCCAGTGACACTGCCCTCCACAGCTAAGATGCTGAACAACAGCTCAACCTGGAGCTGGGCTGCCGTGAGTCGCCGGCGACGGCGTGGGCTGCAGTCCCTGTGGCAGTGGATTGCCATGGGCTACCGTGTGTAGCCAGCAGCCAGCGTGAGCGGCCAGCAGCCGCAGTGAGCGGCCGTCCAGAAGCCGGCGACTGATCTGCCTCACCCGGGAAGAGCGCAATGATGGTGCCAACTTGGGCCAGTGAAGCAACATCCTCCACAACTAGATTGAAGAACAAAACGACAGCAACTTGTCTGTTCCCCTTTCCCCAATTCCCCAGCACTGTTCCCATCCCCCCAATTCCCCAATAAAAAAATCTTTAAAAAAAAAAAAAGAAACAACCTTCAGAGTGATTGTCATGGGAAGCCATCCCAGCGGCCATCCTCTCGTCCCACCATGACCACCCACCTGTACTATGTGGAGCTTTGGCAACAGGTTGCAGTCAGCCAGTGTGAGCTCATTGCCATCCAGAAACTTCCTCTGAGAGATGCCCTCATCCTCAGCACTGGTCTCATCTACTTCTTCTGGGAGGGGGGATGTCAAGTAATTGTCTAAAACTTTCAGGGCTTTCAGGAGCCCCTTCTCCAGATCTGCAAGACAGGCGAATTGGCAAGAACATAAAAAAAAAAACGTCCAAGAACATCCATGGGCCAGGGTCGGGGTGAGGGGGGTGAATACAAATGGTGAGGCCAGTCCAAAATAATAATAGTAAACACTAACGTAGTTAGCTTTTTGTGTTATTCTAAGAACTTTACATACAAAAACTCATTTAACTCTCATCTCAACCAGCGAAATAGGTATTATTATCCTCATTTTATAGCTCTGGAAATGAATTTACAGAGAGATTAAATGAAATCCCAAAGTCACACCTAGTAGGATTTGTACTCAGGTAGTCTGGATCTAGAGTTCTTAAGCACAACACTGTTCTGCCAGAAAACAGGCCAGCAGCCAACCCAGCAGCTGTCCCAGTGGAGCAGGAGAAGCCAGGGGGAAAAATGAGAGATGTTTAAAAGTCATGGCCAATGAGAATGCAAGGAAATATGGGGTTAAGCAAAAATAAGGCAGTGGGTGTAGTGGTGAAGGTTTGCCAACATCTGTTCCATCTCCCTGATATCTGAATTATCTGGTGCCCCTAATGCCTCCAATCCCTGCGTCTTCTCCGTTCCTCCTAGGACCCAGGCCTCTGACCCATAAGACTCACTATCATTGAGTGCTGGGTTTGAATTTTTGATGTAGGCAGAAAATTTGGCAAATATGTCCAGCCCAGCTGTGTTGGACTCAGGGTTCAGAGCTGCCAGCTTGGGGTACCTGAAAGCCAATGGGAGAAACAGGATAAGATATCTTTCTGGGAGGAGACTCCACTCCCGTCCCAGCCCCATCACCACCTGTTTTTCATTTTTCCAACTTCTCTTTCTCAGAGCCTCCCAGCTCCCTTAACACCCCTTTCTGAGTGCCCCAATACCTGGGAGGGCACAGCACTGCCTCCAGAAATTCCTCAATCTTGTTGGTGTCTGTGTGTACTTCAGTGCCATACAGCAGGAATGGAAGTTGCCCTCCTGGGCACAGCTTCTGTACCGTCTCAGTTCGCCTGGAGGACAGGCCAGGCATCAGGACAGGAAAGGGAGGGGGGTCAGGGAGAACCAGAAAGGGGAGATGGAGGGATGTTGGAAGAGAAAGGGGCTCTGGGTGAGAGGGAAAAAGGTTCAGGATGGAAGGGCTTGGGTGGCTGAGCATGTGCATGTGCACAAGGGTTATTTATAAGAACCGAAGTGGGCCCACCTCTTAGTGTCAACGGTGGTGACGTTGAAGGTGACTCCCTTGAGCCAGAGGACCATGAACAGTCTCTGGGAGAAGGGGCAGTTCCCAATCTTGGCCCCATCACTGCCAGCCTGAAAAGGAACCCCCACCCCTAAGGTTAGGCCTGGTGCACCCTACCCATCCCCAAGCCATTTTCAGCATTTTCCACTCCCAGACCTAGCTGTTTTCTGCCCAGTCAGGACACATACTCGGTCTCCACTATAAGCTCCCTCCAACTACTGGGCTCTCCACCCTGGAGCTGGGTCAAACCCAGGGCAGGTCAGTGGGAACATTTTCTGCAAAGGTTGGCTTCTGGTTCCCCAGAGAGTTGAGGACAGTCAGGAGGTGAGCAGAGGGCATATGGATTGTGGACAAGTTAAAGGATCTGGACCCCAAGGAGGAAAGACTAACAATGGTGTAGCTTTCTATGTGCTATTCTAAGCACTTTACCTACAAAAACTCATTTAATTCTCACATCAACCCATAAAGTAGCTCCTAGGGAGGGACTTTGGAGAGGCCAGAGTTGTAGGCTACAGGCCTGGATTCCTGAATGGAGTAGAGCATGAGGAGATGTGGGGTAGGGTTTGGAAGCCAGAGTTCTGGCTCTCTATACCTACAGTCAAGCTGTCTCTGGGCAGCTGCGGGGAGTCAAGGGGTTCAGTGCCCTGCCCTAGAGATATAGAGGGCCTTGCAGAGGGGGGCTGCCCTCTAATTGGCAAGTGGTGACCTCATCTCCCAAGGGACACCACCCCCCTAGGCTGAGGGTGATTCATTTCATGGTGCCTTCAGCCTCAGCAGCTTCCTTCCTGGCAAGGAGTGGGGGGGCAGGGCCTGTGAGGCTAAGGACTGGGCTTTAAAGGCCACCTCCCTCTCCCCCCTCCCCCCCTCCCCCCAACACACTGCCTGCAGGGGTCTCCCAGCACAGGTCCTTCCGCTCCAGATAATCCTCCTCCTCACACAGGGCCCAGGACTCCTGGCCGGAGTGGCTGCAGCCCAGACTCAGCCAGGAGTAAAAATAGCCCTTGAGGCTGGTGTGACTGAGGTGGGGAC